GTAGGAGAATAAAACTGGATCCTCATCTCTCACCTTATACAAAAATCAACTCAGGACAGATTAAGGACTTAAATCTAAGACCTGAAACTATAAAATTCCAGAAGATAACACTGGAAAAACCCTTTTAGGCATTGCCTTAGGCAAAGATTTAATGACTAAAAACCCAAAAGCGATTGCAATATAAACAAAGATAAATAGCTGGGACATAACTAAAGAGCTTTTGAATGGCAAAAAGAACAGTCAGTAGAATAAACAGTTAACTCACAGAGTGAGAGAAAATGTTCACAATATATACTTCTGACAAAGGACTCCTATCCAGAATCTACAACAAACTCAAACAAATCAGTAAGAAAAAATCAAACAAACCCGTCAAAAAGTGGGCGAAGGACATAAATACACAATTCTTCAAAGAAGATATACAAATGGCTAGCAAGCAGTTTAAAAAATGCTCAACATCACTAATGATGTGGGAAATGCAAATCAAAACTACAATGCAATACGACATTACTCCTGCAAGGATGGCCATAATCAAAGCATTTAAAAAACAAAAACAAAAACGGTAGATGTTGGCGTGGTTGCAGCGATTAGGGAACACTTCTACACTCCTAGAAGAAATGTAAACGAGTACAGCCACTACTGAAAATAGGCCGGAGTTCCTTAAAGAACTAAAAGTAGAATTACCATTTGATCAAGCAATAGCATTACTGGATATCTACCCTGAAAACAAAAATGTCATTGTTTGAAAAAGATACTTGCACATGCATGTTTATAGCAACACAATTCACAACTGCAAAATCATGGAACCAGCCCAAATGCCCATCAGTCAATGAGAGGATAAAGAAATTGGTATACATATACATGATGGAATACTACTCAGCCAAAAAAAGGAATAAATTAACAGCATTTGCCATGACCTATATGAGACTAGTGACAATTATTCTAAGTGAGGCAACTCAAGAATGGAAAACCAAATATTGTATGTTCTCACTGATATGTGGGAATTAAGCTATGAGGACACAAAGGCTTAAGAATGACACAGTGGACTTTGGTGACTTGGGGGAGGGGGGAGGTACAAGGGACAAAGGCAACAAATACAATGCCTGTATACTGCTCAGGCGATGGGCGCATCAGGATCTCACACATCACTAAAGAATTTACTCACGTAACCAAATACCACCTGCACCCCAATAACTTGTGGAAAATAAAATAACGAATCTTCTTATGAAGTATGTATTATGCACTAGGCATTGTTCTGGGAGGTTTACATATCTTGATTTATGTAATATTCTCACCAACCACCCTCAGGGGACACTATTGTCAACCTCATTTTACAGATGAGGAATTGAGACATAGAAAAGTTAAATTACTTACTCAACGTTACACATAGTAAGTGGCAGAGCCAAGATTTAAAGTCATTAATACTGTGATATTTAGGGGAAAGTTCAATTTACTCGAGGAAATAAATTTAAAATGTATCAGTGTTTCCTTTGCATTTCAGCAGATAAGGCATTATGCCCCACTGCCATCAATGAACCATGTGGGAAGCTAGGTGAGGACAAAGTCGAGGTTAACCAGCAGTCTGCTGGTCAGGAGAAGGGTGTCCTACCCATTCTCTATCATCTTATCTAGGACTCTCCAACCTCTCTACTTTCTGATTCTGTGTAATACAGAATACAGTACAAAACCTGTCTTCCTGAGACTAAAATGCTTCACTCATGCTTAGTGCCCAGGGCCCATGGTAGTCTTGTCTGAAACTTGGTATAACAAATGCACAATGAATCATCATCTCTTTTATTTCTTTAAAATATGACTCAGTCATTAAAACATGTCTAACCTGACTTCAAATATTTTATTACTGAACACGTCATTATCTTACATGAAGAGGTCTACCCTTTATTTGACTGAATAAAGTAAAAAACTGCTTGCTGTTTGTGTAGAGACGATGCACAGGGTAGAGAACCAGAGGGTGGATGGGCATGGGGAGCTGGGTGGAGGCTCAGTCCCATCTGGCCTTCACTTGCCTTCCTCTAAGCCTGATTTCCTGAGGGGAGGAGCACTGTAACATCTGCCTCCAGTGATGAAAATCCACCCTACCAACAGAATGGCCATAAATAGAGAAGAGTGAAGTACTGGGTTCCTGAAGACTCATCCCGAACTCCTTAGATGCAAGTTTACTATCTATATGTGGAAGTTATAAGACTACATAATCTTGTAAGTTTATCCAGGCTGTCTTTCAGTTGCTTTGAGTGAGTTATACTATATCAATTAGTTGCTGGTTGTTTTTTAAAACTGGGAAGAAATGGAGATAACTATTTTCTCACCATAAACTGAGCACATACGATGCTTCAAGCCATATAAATGTTTCATGGGTTTTGTGAGCTGTACTGGTAGGAGGAGAATTCTGTCATTTCACCTCATAAGTATTTGTGTAAAATCAACATGACAACAGCTTGAAATTGAAATCTAAGTTGAAACCTAATTAATAGTTTCATGAACTCTGCACTGATAGTGAGTGATTGCAGGAAGGAAAAAATTATCTGGGTAGTTTTCAGCCATACTGGTGTGTACAATGAATCTAGGGGCAATTAAATGTTGAGTGCATAAATGAATATGTAAGTGGAATGTTGATAAATTATTGATTGATGTCCTAATAGTCTTAATACAGCTTAGTTATATCACTGATTATCTAGACGATTCTGCTTCCATGAATTGGTTTTTCTAGCTCCATTCTTTTCTTTCCAAATCATCAGGAATGCTCGATTTACTGTCTGGCTAACCAGGAGCTGGCTGGTGTCTTTTCATCCTTGAGCCAAGGGCCTTCACTCATCACTCTTTCTTTCCTTGATTATTACTTCCAAGTGATACATGTACTCTCTTATGATCATCTCTTCTTCTAACACATGCCCCACGATGAGAAGGACTTAGCCTGGCTGGTTACTCCCATAAGGACAAATGCCAACTAAAAATAAGAAGCTCAACTCTTTGTTAAGGACGGAATTGTGCCCCACACTAAATTTGTATGTGAAAGTCCTACCCTCCAGTGTGACTTTATTGGCAGAAAGGGCCTTTAGAGAGCTAATTAAGGTTAGATGAGATGACAAAGGTTGGGCTTCAGTAAGATAAGACTGGTGTTCTTCTAAAAGGAGAAAGAGACACAAGAGATCTCTCTCTCTGTGCATGCAGAAAAGCATACATGGCAGAGAGTGAAAAGGTAACTGTCTCCAAGATAGGAAGAGCAGTCTCACCAAAAGCCAGCCCCCCTGGCACCTTCATCCTGGCCTTTCAGCCTCGAGAACAGTGAGGGAATAAACATCTGTTGTTTAAGTTACCCAATCCGTAGTGTTTTGTTAGGAAGCCTATAATGACTAACTGACTAATATATTCTCCACGTTCAAAATAAGAAAAGAGGCACCTTTTGCTTAGGGCATTTACTTTAGAAAGCTTGTACATCTTTGTCATTTTGAAATGTACATAAATATTCTTAAAATATAACTTAGTCTCTTGTTAGCTTTAAGACCCAGGGATGCTGCTCTCAAAGCCTGGGAATCATCACTTTGAAAATTATCAAGAAATATAACACCTCCATTTCTCAGGTTCAGTAGGAGGCTGGGAGGGTAAGTTCAGCAGGCAGCTTTCTCCAAGTTGCAAGAAAACCTACTTTTATAAAGACATAAGAAGTTTATTTTTTTCTTTGAATAAAGCCAACTGTCAAACACAGATGGTTCCTCCAACTACTAAGAAAATTTAAAATGAAAGGTGTGTGACAAATGGGACTGTAAAGTCCCCTTGAGGACAAGTTATTACTTACCTTGAGAATGTGTACGTTAAAAGTTATATCTCCTTGTTATTTAAAAAGGTGAGATTTTTTTTTCTGCCGTTGCAATTTCTGAGCTGATTTCCTGAGATGTGCATCTCACTCTGGTTTAATGCTAAAAGAAATAAAGGTTATTCAATTAGGAAAAGAGGAAGTCAGATTGTCTCTATTTGCACATGACATGATTGTACATTTAAAGGACCCCATTGTCTCAGCCCAAAATCTCCTTAAGCTGATAAGCAACTTCACCAAAGTCTCAGGATACAAAATCAATGTGCAAAAATCGCAAGCATTACTATACACAATGGACACAGTGCCAAATCATGACTGAACTCCCATTCACAACTGCTACAAAGGGAATAAAATACATAGAATTACAACTAACAAAAGATGTGAAGGACCTCTTCAAAAAGAGCGACAAGCCACTGCTCAAGAAAAGGAGAGAGGACACAAACAGATAGAAAAACATTTCATGCTCATGGTTAGGAGGAATCGATATTGCAAAAATGGCCATACTGCCCAAAATGATTTACACATTCAATGCTATCTCCATCAAGCTACCAATGACTTTCTTCATAGAATTGGAAAAAACCACCTTAAGCTTTATATGGAACCAAAAGAGAACCAACACAGAGAACCAAGACAATCCTAAGCACACAATTCTGGAGGCATCATACTACCTGACTTCAAACTATACTACAAGGCTACAGGAATCAAAACAGCATGGTGCTGGTACCAAAACAGATATATAGACCAATGGGACAGAACAGAGGCCTTGAAAGTAACACCACACAGCTACAACTGCCTGATCTTTGACAAACCTGACAAAAACAAGCAATGGGGAAAGGTTACCCTATTTAACAAATGGTGTTGGGAAAACTGGCTAGCCATATGCAGAAAGCTGAAACTGGATCCCTTCCTTGCACCTTATACAAAAATTAACTGCAGATGGATTAAAGATTTAAACATAAGACCTGACACCATAAAAACCTGAGAAGAAAACCTAGGCAATACCATTCTGGACATAAGCATAGGCAAGGACTTCATGACTAAAACACCAAAAGCAATGGCAACAAAAGCCAAAATAGACAAGTGGGACCTAATTAAACTCAAGAACTTGTGCACAGGAAAAGAAACTATCGTTAGAGTGTTTTTCTAATGGGGGGAGGAGGAACATCATAGGGAGGGGAACATCACACGCTGGGGCCTGCAGGTGGGAGGTGAGGGCTAGGGGAGGAAGAGGCAGGGGTGGGGAGATTGGGAAGGGATAACATTAGGAGAAATACCTAGTGTAGATGATGGGAGGATCAGATACAGCAAAGCACCAAGACACCTGCATACCTATGTAACAAACCTGCACGTTCTGCACACGTACCCAGGAAATTAAATAATATTTTAAAAACTGTTTTCTTTCTCTTCTACCTTTGTGGAGAAGTTTTCTTGGTTGGGAGGGTATTTTGTTTTCAATTACGTATCTCTAACACCTCCCAGTCTCAGTGAGAATATTAGGCAGTATATAAACACGTTTTAAATTAACATCTATATCTCCCCATCTGTATTAGTCCAATTTGCATTGCTGTAATAAAGGAATACCTGACGCTGGGTAATTTATAGGGAAATGAGGGTGATTAGAATCATGGTTGTACAGACTGCCCAAGAAGCATGGCATCAGCATCGGCTTCTTGTGAGGCCTCAGGGAGCTTACAATCATGGCAGAAGACAAAGGGGAGCTGGCACCTAACATGGTGAGAAAGGAAGCAAGAGAGAGATGGGGGCAGTACCACCTTTAACAACCAGATCTCAGTGAGTGACAAGAGCAAGAATTCAGCCATTACCGTGAGGAGAGCACCCAGCCATTCATGAAGGATCTGCCCCATGAGCCAACACCTCCCTCCCAGCAGGCCCTACCTCCAACACTGGGGATTACATTTCAACATGAGATTTGGAGGGGCCAAACGTCCAAACTATATCACCGTCTCTGTTACTGCTGTATCTACACAAATAATGAGAGATTCTATTGGACTTCATTATGTCTTAATTCTGCTGCCCATATCAGATAAACAGTGATAGGCTGGTAGTGAGGAATCAAAAGTATAGGCCAAAACTATACTCAACTGGCCATAGCATCAATTTAAATGTTTGGATAAATCACATTTCTCTGGTTAGTGGGCGGATTTGTGGAAATTGCCCTGTGCTTACAGTTGGAAGAATTTGGATTTGAATTCAGTTCCACCACTTTCTCTCTATGTAAGTATTACCAGTCTCCTAATTTCACCCTGAAGCCCAATCACCTCATCTGAAAATGTCTCATGTTTCTTATAGGGTCACTGAGAGACCAGATGAAATATTACAGGTGTGCTTTCCACGATGAACATGTGAACCATAGTGTTTTCTTAGTATTCACTAACCTTGCCATCTAAAGGGACTGTGACTTTTACTAGCTAGTTTCCAAAGGGGCTTATGCCTAAAGGAAAGGAAAACTGACTTTTTCCATATCCAGTTCATCTCTCTATTCTTCTACCCCTTTAAACTTCTTCATAAGGACTTTCCTGCCTTTCAACATTATTTTCTTTCTTGAATAACATAGGACATGGTGCTCACAGTTCTGCACGTGTAATATGTTCTGCATTGGGGGTTATGGATCCTAAGGGGGATGCCCTATCAAGTTAAATTGTCTTTTCAGAAAAGAATTCAAGGTGTTTATAAACTGAGGGAACACAATGACTTCAAGTGGAAAATGAAATGAGGAATAACTGCAGACCACAAGACAGCAGTGCCATTTAGAGCTAGGTCCAGTGTGTTCTAAATCTACAATGAACACACTTTACATCATAAATATGTATTATAAGTAAACAACCAAGCTTTCTGTTGTGATTTATTTATTTAGGTTTCTCTCTAATTTGGTCTTGCGGTCTCTCTTTAAAGGAGGCCAGAAACCAGCCCCTCTCCAGGAGAGCCCTGGCCAGGTGGAAAGGTAGGCTCTGGGGTGTCAGTCAGGTAAGGCACAAGGAGGAGGCAGGACCAAAACGCAGGAACAGAAGAAATCTCTAACTTACACATCCCAGAGAAGTTCGGGGAGCGTCTGGAGCCCGAGGGGCAGTCTGGAGGTCA